TCATATTTTATGTAATGTATTTTTATGTAATACACTATAATACACTATAATACAAATTTTAATAATAATTATTTAGTTTATATATGGTTACTATTTATTGACTACATAAATAAATTTCTTTATGATTTATTGATTATTTATCTACCAATAGTAAATCTATATGGTAGCGAGTGTTTTATATTCAGTAATCAGTATATAACTGATTTGTAACTAACTTGTAACTAATTTGTGAAAGAATAGTCATAAGTTAGTCCTGAATTTGACCATAATGTAGAGTCAACAATTTCATAATTTATGGTACAGCAATACAGATAAAAACGATTAACAAAATACAACAAAAATTACAAAAAAAAGTCATGTGATAAAAGAAAGAATATTTATTTTATTAAAAAAAGTATAATACACAAATAAATTATAGACTGAAAAGGAAGATTACACAAGATTGATAAATTACGGAAAGAAATAATTTGAATAAATTAGTTACCGAAAAGAAAAGATAATTAAAGGACTGAACAGAGGGTCAAAAAGACAAATAATTAATCAACTAAATGGAGATCTTATAGAAAGACTTAGAAAATATTTAAAAAATAATAATTGAAGAAGTAATACAAATATGCAAGAAGATTACACAAAGAGTATAATGATTGAAAATAACAAACTGGATCACATAGAAGCATAATATAAAGATTATACATAATATTATAAGAAGAATAGAAATCAGTAGTAGAACTGAAGTTGTTAGGAATACGAAATTCAGAAGTAAAGTAGTAATTCATAATAATAGAAACAGAAATCAGTATTAGTAAAACCTTAAAATAAGTAGTAGTAAAACAGTATGAAGTAGTAAAACAAATGAATTCAGAAGTAAAAAGTAAAATAGCAGAATTGAAGTGAATAGTACATAGTAATAATTAGTTATTCATCATGTGATTTACTATGTAAATTTATATATATCCTTTGAATACCTTCAAGGACCTTATGTTTGATTTTCCAAATAAAAAAAAATTTTAATAAATAAATTTTTAATACAAAATAAAAAAACAAATACTTTTGTTTAAAATAATTGATTGTTAAAAAATTAAATTATGAAAATAAATAAGTTATTTCACTTACATATAAATTTTAATTTAGAAAAATGTTAATGAAATAATTATAAAATAAATCTCAGAAAGAATTATTAAAAATATGACAAAGATTTAATGAATACTTAAACGTAGAAAGAATATTTAGAAGTATAATTAGAAATAACATTCGGCAGAAGTAATAATCAGAAGTAATATCAGAAGCAATATTTAGAAATAATATATGAAAGAAACATTCAGAAGTTATAATCAGAAAGAATATTTAGAGAGATAAAACTTTAGAAGTATAATATCAGAAAGAATAATTAAATAATATTTAAACAACAATAACATTATAAAGAAATTATAAAACAAATTATCACTCAAAGTTTAGAAAGGATTTTCAGCAATTAAATATTAATTTGTAAAACAAATCCTCTTGCTGATGAGTGGCAGAAACGATCAAAAAGATATAAATTATGTTAAAGCTTATCAAACTCAAAAATGCTATACATTGTAAAATAATACAATAAGTTAGTTGCAAGTTTATCATACTTTATCTTATTTTTGTAAAATAGTTATATGGTTAGAACTTTTAAAAATTATTTCAATTATGCTACAAATGAAATATAGCAATTATTTTGCTCATATTATGAATTTAATTAAAAATATTAGATAAATTTTCCTATTTTTTAATTGCTTAATAATATTATATCGAATATCAAAAATATTTTTATTCATAGTTTTATAAAAAGAAAATGGATTAATTATCTTACTTTATTTCTTTTTTTTGAAATTTCACTAGAAAATTTAAATACTTCTAATTCTAATATTTCATTACTATTATTACCAGAAAAAAATGTATTAGTTTTAATTAGTTTAAATATATATTTTAATTTTAATAATTATATTTTATATATTGTATTATTTTTTTTTAAAGAAGAAAAATTGAATAATAAAACAAAGAAATTTGTAATTTGGCAAAAACATTTTAGGATTAAAAGTTAAGTTTAATTTTAAAATTATGATTTTTTTATTAAATCTAATTATAACTGGAAATTTAATGCTAACTATTCAAATTAATTATTGAAATTTCTAATTTAAAATTTGTTTAAAATCAAAAATATACCTTTAGTAGCTTTTATTACTAATTGTGTAAATCAAACTTAAGCTGTATTAAAATTTGATGTAAATAATCCTCTAATTTCATCTGAAATAATTGCAAATATGATTATTATAATATTGATTTTTTAAAATTTAAGCCTTATTTTAAATAAGCATATTAAGTTGTTTTAAAAAAATGGAACAAACATATTCAATATCATTTAATATTACCTTTATTTAAAGATATTCAATATTTCGATCTCTGATTTATTCATATTCACATTATAGCTAATTTTATAATTCATGAACTACTAATAAAATATTATGTAATGATTCATAAATTATAAAATTAACTATAATAGACAAAATATTTTACCATATGCTAATATAATTGAATTTTAAAATCCTATTAATACTTTATTAAATGAATGGAATATTTACTATAGATTGGAGGAAATAGTAGAAGGAGAATTGGATTTAAACAATTATTGAAAAGAAAAAAGTCTTATATTATCAAATTTATCAAAAATAGCGTTGATTTATATTTGGTTACTAATAACTTGAACAGTTGTAGAATGCAGTTTTCTAATTACAAAAATATTTTGAGTGAAAGAAAATTTCATCTTTCTAAAAAGTTAATTTTAATGCTTAATTTTTTGTATGGTAGGAAACACAATAAGCCATCAAATGTTTCAATTTTGAAATTTTAATAATAATCACGTGATTAACATAATATCAAATTTTAATTGGCTTAAACCAAATCACATGACAAATATTGATCGCAGAATTTTGGAGATCGCTTTCAGAGAATTCTATTAAAATTTTTATATTATAATAATGAATAATTTTTAATTTTGCATTACATGAACCCGTGGGCTCTATTACATTTATGTCATTTTGTATATCAACCCGATCTGACCCACATTATAAAAATTTGGCTTAATTCGGGCTAAAATTATTATTTCAAATCTTCGTTACTTAAATTCACTTAGGAAAATACTCAAATTTTGTGGCTTACTGTAATAACTTTTTATCTTAATGTCCAATTGGAATAATATATTATAAGACCGATCAAATTATGTTGAGATACAGTATTTTAGATATATGCTCTGAAAAATTTTTTAAGTTGGACAAATTTTATTGGATCGTCTTATTGTGTCACACTATACTATTTTGCGAGTGATTTTTATACTATTTATATTGCCTAAAAAGTAAATTTCGCATAATTTCTACCAGAATTATAACACAATATCACATATTTCATTTTTTTTCACATGCTACATATTTCTGGATCGGATCGCGATCGAAAAATTTTTTTTTATTTTTTTCAAACAAGTCGTCTCCTGGTTCTCAAAAAATGTCGGGAACAAATCAAAAAGGGCTTATTAAAGGTGTTAAAGATTTTTTTAGCGGAACAATTGGCGGAATTGTTCAAGTGTTTGTTGGACAGGTAATTTAAATTTTTATTATTTCATATTTTACTAATAAGCATTAATCTTATTTTCTATTATTTAGCCATTTGATACAGTCAAAGTGGTAAGTTTTTGTGTGAATAAAATATTATTATTGTTAAGTATTTTCAAGGATGCAATATAATTCTTATGTTTAAACAGAGACTTCAAACACAACCATATAATGGCACATTAGATTGTGTCAAGCAAACTAGTAAAGAAGGATTACGTGGATTTTATAAGGTTTTAATTTCTTGGTTTCTTAATATTCGCATATTAAAAAATCCTTATTGATATAGAATATATAGGGATCAACAACCCCTCTAGTTGGATATGGTACATTTGTCTCCATTCAATTTTTAGTTTTTGGATATACACAAAGACTATTTAATGAAAGGAATGTAAAGAATGGAGACTCAAGCGTGTTGACAATGTCACAATTATATCTATCTGGGGCTGCAGCTGGGATAGTAAGTTCTTTTGTTTCTTGTAAGTTATAAAAGAAATTTTTTTTTCAATATTCGGTTAGCTGAATTTGTGATTTTTTACGTGATCCTTTGAAATATTTTATAGGTCCAGTCGAACATATTCGTACACGTAAGTCTTTAGACGAAATATAATTATTTTTATATCTTAATTATTACTTGTTTGAATCATATAAATTATTAAATCTAATTGCCGTTCGTTTGTTTAGGACTTCAAGTGCAACGTAATAATGAACTTTATAGTGGACCAATCGATTTTATCAAAAAAATTTACTCTAAATATCAAATTAAAGGAATTTATAAGGGACAGTTAATAACGATGGCTCGTGAACTTCATGGATGTGGTTGTTATTTTCTAATATACGAATACTTGATGCATCGCGCCATGTCTGAAGAAAAAAAAAAAAGGGATGAATTGCCTAGTTGGAAACATTGTTTATACGGGGCTGCAGCAGGTTTGTCTTCAAATATGCTTGAAAGCTTTTGCGGTTTCGATGAATTTTCTAACATAACTTTACTTTCTTAAGGATACGGATTATGGGGTTTTTGCTACCCAATAGATGTTATTAAGAGTAAAATACAAACAGATGAATTTTCAAAAGAAAAGAGAGTATATTCAAGCTCGTTGGATTGTGCAAAACAAACTTTCGCCAAAGAAGGAATTAAAGGTTTCTTTAAAGGATTCGGTGCATGTATATTACGTGCTGGACCTGTTAATGCTTCATCATTTGTTGCCATAGAAATTGCTAAAAAATGGTTTGATCGCCGGTTTCAATTATGATAGAAATTTAACTCACATGAGCTAAAGTTGTTTAAAATTATTACTATTTAATTATTTAATATTTAAATAACGATTAGAACCAAGATCAACCAATTTAATAATTTATTAAAAAAAAGTATTACTGTTAAAACCAAGTAATACGTTTAACTATTAATATTATAATAAGAAAATCTATAAAATGATGGTACTGTATAATAATAAGTACTTATATTATAAAAGTCAAAACTTTGATCAAATAAATAAAAATTAATAGAAATATTAATTAAAGATATTTGAAGAAAAATAAGTAAATAAATAAAATCTCTTACCCTGATCTGATAATTTCCGGCCTTAGTCATATATCTTACCCATTTAACACTTGTATATTCGCTTTTTTCAAAGACTTTCAAAAATCTGACTAATAATCCAGAAGAAGTAAACATCAAAACTTGAAAATCCATTGATATTGGAGGTCGAGACCATGCTTTCTTTACAGTCATAGAAGAAAGTTCAGCTTCACCAGATAATGTTACTTCGGATTGTCCTTGGAATCGCGGTAACCTATAAAATATATAAGCAAATGTAAATCATTTCTAAAATATTTTATAAAGTATTAGAAATTAAAATAAATTCTTTATACATTACTTCCAAACAATAGAATTTTCGGCTGGAACATATTTCGCTTTACCAGCTGTTACGCGTGTATTGATATTGGCAGTATTAAGTGGCGTGGGTATCCTTATCACCACATTATTAGCATATAATTTTGGCGAGAAATTCGCTTTCACAGTGATTCGATATTCAACGCGTGATTTACCAATTTCGTTAACTACTGGGTGAACACGGAATGGAAGGTTGACATTTTCCGTAGTACGATATCTTTATAAAAGACAACATTCAAGAGTCTATTTTTTTTTTTTTTTTACTTTTTAAAAACAAGGAAAAAAGGTAAACTAGATAAACTAACCTCATTAATTCAAATTCACCATCTGGGGGAACAAAACTTATTGTACGATCAGAATCGAATTTTCCCAATTTAACACATTGATGAAATTGGCAATCATCAATCTCAACAGCATTCGTTCTTCTCTGAGACCTGTTAAATAATTAACGTTGTAAACTTCTATAAATCTTTTGGGATACATAAATATTATGTAAAAACACACATACGATCCTCTATGCGATGCGTCTTTTTCCAACAATAATTTATCGTTAAGTCCGAATTTACATTCCGGGGTACCAGAAAGATATGCTCTCATCATAATTTGTCCAGACACGTCCGATCTTAATATGGTGCCTAAAATACAATAGATTAATTAATTAATTAACTCCTTAAGATATTACAAAAGTTAAATAAGAATATAATTATATATATACATATATATCAACCTTTGGTACTCATTAATAAATTCACTGATTCAATAACATCTATAAAAGCTTCGTTCTTTCTATATTTAATATCTGATCTACGCCATGAAGTAGCTCCAGTTGCCTGGATAGTGATCTTTGAAGAATCTTCTTTCTAATTATATTTATTAGTTTTCAAAGTTCTGAATTCAGCTGAAACACTAAATAACATACATACCACAGCGCGTTGTGATTTGACACCTTCAGTAGTTATATACATTTTAAGCGTTTCTGTTTCACTATTTTGAGGATATCCAAAATCGAGAATCTCTAATCAATAGAGTAAATGTGAGTGCAAATTTTCATAACAAAATATATGAATATAAATCTATTATATTACCGTCTAATAACTCGTATATTAGTACAAAATTGTTCTTAACAGCTTCTTCGTCAAGTTTCCCAAAATAAGCCTTTCCAATGATAACAAGTCTATAACAAAACTCAAACACTAAGGCTGCATTAGCATTACACTTAGTAACGGCCACGATGTAAAGGTTTTCATGATGAACATGAAAAAATGATGTAGATCCAAGTGTAATGATAGGTGAACGAACATCAGTATTAGAAATTACTTGAATTCGAAAGATGTCTGCAACAGAACGCCTGAAATGTTAAAATAAAACCAATATAAGTTTCAATATGCTAAATTAAAACGGAAAACCTTCAAATTACTTTAAATCTTGACGATATAAACGCGAAATTAGTACTTCTCCCTTCTGATTGTATATAAAGAATGCACTAATCATGCTTCTGCTTTTTCGAGATAAATAGATGAATTACTGCGGTTTTCACAAAAAATCGTGAATTCTACCGAAGCATATCAGAAGCATATCATCTGATTTCTACAGAATTTATTTAAGGATTTCTGTCCGGTGTAACATATAAAATAATTTTGTGACTATTCAATCTTAGATACATTCTATGCAATGCGATGAAGGAATTTCCGTTGTGTTTCTTAAGTTATGCAAGAAACTTGTTTTTACATGATAATGGCCACTCTTGTTTTTCAAATTTTATTTAATTGTTACTTAACGATAATTTCTACACGATAAAATAAATAAAAAAAAGGATTGATAAAGACACTTCTTGTAACATGATAGTGAGGTGTCGTTATGAGAATAATTTTACGGGTAAACAAAAGAAAGTTCTTACATTCAAATGTTTAAACATTATCGTTTTGTAAGTAGTATAAGATCATATAAACCTTGGTTTTTTGATAATATATTGTTAGATCGTCTTTAGATAAAAAATTTTTTAACTTCAAAAATCAATACCTCTTCCTTTAAATTTCGCCTTTTTAAATTTTAAATATCATATCCTTTCGTTTTTGTACCTTTTGTACCTTCCTTTAAATTTCTTTTTTTTAACTTCAAAAATCATTACCTCCCTTTAAATTTCTTTTTTTTTTACTACAAAAAATCAATTTGAACATACCCTTTCGTTTTTTAACTACAAAAATCAATACACTTCCTTTAAATTTCTTTTTTTTAAAAAATTTAAACATCATATTCTTTCTTAACTACAAAAATCAATACACTTCCTTTAATCATCATTATCACAATAAAATTTCAGTGTAATAAAATAAAAATTTAACATTTGCTAAAGCAAATATATTCGCTTTTATAAACCATTTAAATGGACTAATTTGGAAGAAAATACAAGACCAACAAAATACAAAATATTAAATATTAATGCAGGTAATTGTAAATTTTATGAAAAAAAATTAATGTTTTACATGTTAACAAACCTAATAACATATATATTTACAAAGGTTACAAATCATGTGGTAAATTAAGCAAAAAAGATTACCTGAAGAATATAATAAAAATAGTAAAATTTTATCTTATATTCTTTATTGATGTACTGAATATAATTATCCTTTAAATTTAATTTGTAATATGAATAAAACTCCTATATCTTTTAATATGCCACTATTGAAGAATATGAAAAATAAACTATTTCAATTCTTATAATAGGTTATGAATATATCTATTTATAGTTACATATGATTGTCTTACAGATGATATCAAACTTTCTCCATTTATTATTTTTAAGTTAGTTAAAGTATCATGAGAATATTTTTCAGATGATATATATATTTATGCAAATTTAAGTAGTTGGATGAATGAGAAAAAAATAACTTAGTGAATGAAGAATATGTAATATTAACAGATTCAAATTCACATTCTCTCCTTATACTTGATTCATTTATTACTTATAGAACAGACTTAGTAAAATGTTATTTTAATGAGAAAAATACAGATATAGCTATAATTTTAAGTAAACTTACTTTACATTTTAACTATTAGACATATCTTTAAATAAATTATTTAAAGTAAAGGTTAATATTAATGTTATTAAATGATAAATTTTTAAAATAAATTATTTAGGCTGAAATATTAATATAAAAATATTTTATTATTTTTATTTTTATTATAGCTTCACTATGTATAGATATAAAGGAATATATGTCAATAAGTAAAATTAAATATTTTTTAATAGTAACTTGGATTAAAGATGTATGAGATAATATTGATCCTATAATAATATGATAATCTTTTAAGTGTTGTAAGATCTCTACAAAGGTAAATGGCTCTGAAAATAATACAATTTTTAATTTTAAAAAAATTTTTAGTAAAAAAGATATAAGAATTGATGATATTGAAAAGGAGAAAAAAAGTGATACAGAAGATAGTGAAGATAATTCAAAGAATGAATATTATAAAAATAATAAATTAAAAATATTAATTAAAAGAAATAAACAAACCTTAAAATTCTTCTTATTTATATATAAAAATAAACTTAAATAAAAATCAAAAACCAAAATACTTTTAAAAGAAAAACATAAAATGTTTGTTAAAATTATTTTTGAATGATTTTGACTTTTGCTAAAATGGCATTAAGATTATATTCTAAAACCTTAACAAGTATCAAATATATATTTTTATTTACCAGCATATTCTTAAATAAAAAATGTAAAAATATTAAATAACACAGATGCTATATAATTATATATTTCAAAATTCCTGTTTCAAAATATAAATATGATTAAGTTGAAGATTTGTATTATCTCAAGATTTTTCACCCTTACGTCATATATACTATTTATAACCCAATATCATGCTTCTCTGATTTTATTTTTACTATGTATAAGAATTAATAAATCAGAAACTGAACAGAAGGGACAATTAGAAGAGATAATTATCGTATCCAGCAATCAAATTATATTTTTTTCCAAGTTTCATTATTAGCTCAACTATATTAGCTCTTGATTCCGTCTCTATTCGTAAATATGCAAGAAAGGCTACATGGATGTATACTGAAAAGGTTTAACAGGTCAGGTAGCTGAATTTGCAGTTAAAAAATACCATTCACATCGTTGGATTTCCAATTCAATTTTACAATCAATTGGTACTTAGTAATTAATTCCATTTAAATAGGCAAAAAAGAGAAAAGTTGGTAATTATATGATTTAATATCAATAATATATAACAATTAATAAAAATATTTAATAAACAAAATTAGATATTATTATTAATATTGTAAAAAAAAAATTAACAAATTTTTTTTAATATTAAATATGCTATCAATTAACGCTCCATTTATAATGACATTTATATTTTAGATATACATAGTGATCAATAAACCATATTATTTTTATTTTACATCTTTATCTCGAACAAAATAAAAATCGTAATTATATTCAAATAACACTTAACCAGTAAGTATTTTCATTTTTTATTTTTATAATTTGTTTGTGTTTGCGTTTGTGTTTGCGCGAATTGTTTGTGTTTGCGTTTGTGACTCGAAATTCGTTTAATTATTTTTTTTTTTTTTTTTTTTTTTGAATATTTATATCGTAAAACTAAAAAAATGTGTTCTATATACAAAAAGGTAAATTCCAAAATTTTAAAATCTTGCTTACGAAATTTTTAAACAAGATTTGAGAAAGAAAAAAATATTTACAAGAAATTATTTCAAAATAAAAATTGCTAATGAAATCGAAGGTATATATAATCTGGAGATAAAGTTGTTCGAATTAAAATGGCGAATAGAGATTTTCCTTAATAAATTGAATTTTTGCATATTAAAAAGTCTTATATGTTTACAAAACGGATAAACTCTTCGTAAGTATCAGCTTTGAAAACATGAGATGTAAATTGTTCCTTTAGAGTTGATATGTTGGTTTTAAAAAAAGAAGTGAAAGGTTTCAAAAAAACCCCCCCCCCCCCCTCAGATATGAAAAGGTTGCAGGGTAGCATATTAATAGTGATGGTTACCTCCAGTTAAAATTAATTGATTGCCATATCGAATAAAGATAAAATTTCTTTGAAATTTTATCTTAAAATGTATATACAGGTTGAATTCGTTGGTTTTCTGTTAAATAGTCAAACTGATTCCTGAACCGTGAAACGCACTTAATCAAACCTGCTTGACCATTAACTAAACTCGTCAAGGATTCGTGATCAACGCATTTCATTAAGTCTGGTTGACTATTCGCTAAAGTTGACAGAGATGATGAAGAAGATGATGAACCAGTTGAAGTTGGACAGTGAACAAAATCGTCCAAGAATTCTGAATGGGGTGTTGTAAATTCCATTTCTGAATTTGTTGAATACCATGAACAAGCAGTAGCGGAAGAATTTGTAGATGAATGATCGTGTGACTTGCGAGAGGTTATCGAAGAAATTTCATCATCATAATTTTTGTGTGAATAACAAAAAGTATCATATTCTGATTTTCGAGATGATGTTGAAGAAGCTTCATCATCGTAGTAATTTTTGTATGAATCTTTACAAAAAGTATCATATTCGGATGTATCATATTCGGATACGGTAAAATTACGACATGCAAGTACACGTTCTCGAAGTTCGTCCAATGAAATGCGTTTCTCAGGGTCAAGAATAAAGATATCTTTTAAAATTTCATTAAGCTCATCAGAAAGTGGGAGAATTGTCTTTAAAAAATCACGGTCTCGCAAAAACACTGAAAAAGTTTCATCGCGAAGACAAGCTTGTTTCCAAGGATTCCGACCACAGGTAAGATTAATAAGAATAACTCCTAATGACCATACATCATTAGCAGCAGTGATATACCCTCGTACTTTTTTATTTAATCCTCCTTGACATTCTAAAATTAAAAAAAGATAAATAAATAAAATTTTAACAATATCAAAAAAAAAAAAAAAAAAAATTTAAATAATATAATACCTGGACTCATGTAAAACGTTGATCCGCAACCGAAATCTCTTGACCAAATATCGGTCGTGGCCAAACCAAAATCAGCAAGTTTCACGGTCTTTCCATCATCAAAGACAAGAATGTTTTCAGGTTTTAAATCTCGATGATAAATCCCATGAAAATGAGAAAATTGTACAGCATCAAGTATTTGGACAAAAACTTGTTTGATAAGTTTATCATTTCCAAGATATCCACCCTTTTCAGTGATCATTGAGAACAAATCACCTTCACGACAGTATTCGAGCACCACATTAAGTGTATCCGAGGTATCAACAACTTTCTCTAAACTTATAATATTTGGATGACCCGACACTTGAGCATGTAAACTGATCTCTGTCGCATGTAATCGATGTTGTCTTGCATCGATATTTGCTTTTGGCATACATTTTACTGCGTACATGCGTTGATTCATAACATGCTTTGCAGCATAAACCACACCATAAGCACCAACGCCAAGAATATGAGTTATTTCAAGTCGACCATTGTCAATGAGAGTGCCGATACGT